CGAGTTACAAATATGAACAACTGAACCAGTATCAAATACCCTGGCGGTACTACGAGTATTAGTAAGGAACACATCAATAACATGTATATCAAATATACCTTTGTTCACTTTGCCACCCTACTTATCTGCCAAGTACTTGGGGGCAGTTCCACTTCTAGTGACAATTTCCTTTGCAGTAGAAGCACTCAGTTTCAGGCTTGGGTCCAGCTTTGGGTATGTTACTTACCCGATATTCAATCGTCGGTATCTCATAACTAGTTCAATCTCGTAACCGGCAAGTCTCTTTACTCGTTCTGTAATACAAGATCCCATGAAAAACTCCTTAGCCACATTGCTTGCAAGCTTCTTGTGATGTTGTATTAGCGAGAGGGCTCGGAGATACCTCTTCGTTAAATGGTGTGACAAATCCCAGTCTCAATCCATGCCAACCCAACAGACACCATCGGAGATACCTGTAGAGCACCTTTATGATCAGTCAGTTACGAAGTGACGTTTGCTAGCACACAAGGTATTCCTCCGGTATCCGAGAGTTGCATGATCTCATAGTCAAAGGAACAGATACTTGACACGAAGAAAGCTATAGCAAATAACTTAAACGATCTGATGCTAAGCATATGGTTGGCTCTAGTCCATCACATCATTCTCCTAATAATGTGACCCCGTTATCAAATGACAACTCATGTCTATGGTTAGGAAACCGTAACCATCTTTGATCAACGAGCTAGTCTAGTAGAGGCTTACTAGGGACACGGTGTACTTTATGTATTCACACATCTATTTAAGTTTCTGATCAATACAATTCTAGCACACGCATAATAAACTTTTATCATGAACGGAAAAATATGATAATAACCATTTTATTATTGCCTCTAGCACAGATTTCCAACACCTTCTAATTTGGTTGATGCCATTTGGGCCCGCGCACTGTATGGCCTGCATATCCGTGAACCAGAGTAAAATGGCATTCAGTAGCGGGAGCCATTTCGATGACCGAGGAGTAGCCAGAAGCGATAGTGTCTCCACTGCACTAGTAATAATTGTTTTTCGGGGTAGCGGTAGAGTGTGTCCATTGTGCTAGTAGTAATTGTTTTTCTGGACCCAAAACAAAAGAGCGCATACACCCTAATTAATAAAATCAATTCAAAAGCACATATTTACTTAATGAGAGGCGCTGCCCACCACACCGCGACCCAAAAAAACACGTGTACTCTGCTAGTGTAATATGCCACAGGTGGACAAATTGAACCCAGGTAACCGCGGCGAAGGAAGATGTCAAGGAGATGATTACCCAAATGCAGACTTTTTTATATTTTTTAGAAAAGGAGGATTAGGGCATGTCCAACGTCGACCCTCGAACCGCCCACATATGTTCGGACTCAGCTCTCGGGACCGTGAAACCATCCAACGCCGACCCCGTCCGTCCGCGGCATAGTCGATGGAGGTGGTGGAGGCACCGGAGGACCCGAGAATCATGCTCGCCCGGAAGATCAATTCGGCGACGTGGCAAAATTGCTGCGTCAAAGCAAAAGTCGCAGAGGAGAACCTCAATGTCAGACATATGCAGTTTTGTTGCTTAATAGCCGGACATGCATTGTTTTCACATCAGCGACGACACCTTGATCACGCAGGATGGCTGGGATTGCCGGTCTGGCAGGGCAGAAAAATGCACGGACTGTCGGACTTATGTTCCTTTGGATTCGAGCATGTAAAAACTAAACATACTTGCCTCTTTTTGTTTGTGATCGGGCATGTGATCTGGTGCTGGTGTGATCCGATGTGTTGTGTGGCTTGAACTATATTTGAATTTCAAATTGCCCTTTACGGGCGAAAATATACCATGCAGTGTTGGATGGCCGGCTCCCGCATTTGTGTCTGCAAGACTGGCCGGACGCAGTTGAAGATGCCCTTACCGCGGCATGTGCATCAAAATGACACATGCGGTCAAATTATTAAATGTAGTATCCACCAAGTACATACTCCCTCTGTCCCATAATATAAGAGTGTTTTGGACGCTACACTAGTGTAAAAAACGCACTTATATTATGGGATGGAGGGAGTAGTACAATATAAGAACTCAAAATGAGTTGAAAAGAAAAAAACATTGGCAAAGCCGTCAAAAATAGGACTAGATGACTATACACATATCCTATTATGTCCCAATGATAGCACAGGATACGTACAACCGGACGGTAGTACGGTATACATACAACCGAAGTACCCACAAAGTGATGACTATACAGACATCACTTGCTCGGCATGAAAGTCCACACAAGCATCAGTTGTCAAAACTATCTCAGATAGGCTTCCAGTTCCATACACGTTGAAGTTGCGACCAACTTTGCACCCTCCCGTTCCATAGAAAATGTTATTATCGTACATTTTACACATATATAGATATATATACATGCTGCCATTTTTCATAAGTTCTTCTTCAGCAATAACAAAATATTGGTACATGCTGCATCTGTCAGTTGCCTGGCGGTGGGCCAGAGGATGGATGGAAAGAGAGCATGCTGGGAGAGTCCACTGTGACAATAACGTCTTCCCCCTCGGACTCGTCACCCGAATTATCACCTTCAGCTACCACCCTCCGTTCATGGCCGGCTGCTTGCTGCGGAAAGGGGGAAAGTGCAGGAGCTGAAGCTTGAGCTTGAGCAAGAGCAGATTTTCTGCTCATCACACTGGGACCCGCCGACTTCACAGAAAGCAGAGGCCGCGTGTTGGATGCCCTTGAAGGCACCTCTGGATAGGAGACGCTGTGCTTCTGGTTTCCCTCCACATGATCAAGCCTCGGTTGCCGCCGCTGAGCAGGGTGCATGTCATCCATCTGTGAATGAGTTGACGCAGTTTTCCGTTTTAGTTGAGCTGATCACATAAATTATGACCGGCTATGAAACATCAACAAAACTGAAGAAAAGACGCATACGTACCATGCCACCATACATGCTGACTTGCAAGGCTCTAGCAGAGAAGCTACCGGGTTGGTTTTTGATTTCAGCTAGGCTTGGATTTCCAGGCCCTTTGGATCTCACAGAATTCTCCGGCCACCTGAGCAAACCGATGTGCTCTTTGCTCTGCGTTCGTGGTGGTCCGAGTTTTGGAGACAGCATTGATGCACTTCTTTGCAGATCGGCTTCCATATCTGGCCTCCCTATTTCAAACAAGATAGCCCTTGATCTAGCTTCCACCTGATAACTCGATGCAGCATAGCAGTAGTCTATAATGTTCAAGGCTGTAAACACAAGAGAGCATTTGAGTCACCCATTACTTCTATAAAAAAAACACTGCTTTTATTTCAAAAAACATAGAAGTGCTTGACCGATGAGAATGTGGAAAACCTGAAGACTGCAAGCCAAATAAATTCAAATCAGTGTTCGACGGCAGCAGCACAGCTGGATGTTTGATCGAATTTCGGTTCTCTGTCTTCAGGAATCCTTCCAATAAGATGCCAACGTAATTAGGCCCGAGTTCAATGTCTTCTCCCTTAATGTAGATATTCATACTGGATCTTTCAGAAATGAGAACCCTCATCTCATGCATTGCCATTTTCTCAAATATCTGGGGGAGAAACAACCTTGCAATAGCTAGAGCACTTTCCTGTAATTTCCACATATTAATGATTAAGGGCTATCAGATATAAATGATGTGAGAAAGGTAACATTGTTACGCTAGACCTTGTAGAGTAGTGGTGATGGGTTCACGATGGAAGTTCAGTGTTAGCAGCAATAATACTTGATAGGAATTTGGGTGGACTGACATGCCCATTGGGTGAAGACAAGCAAAAGCCCAAACAAGTAACAACAAGGGTTGTAAATGCATAGACGTTCGGGGCTCCCTCTCCTCTACACTCAATGCTGTGTGGCGCAGGACAACGGTTTGGGCGATGGCGCGGTGCTGGTCCAGAGTGCGGCGGCGCTGGCCGGGCTCGAGCGGCACCGCCGTGGGATCTCGTCCGGTGCGCAGGGGGCTGGGCTGGCCGTGGCCCTGGCATGTGGCACCAGCGGCTGGGTGGGGCCTCACCCCAGATCTGGTGCGGCTGGGGCCATGGGGGGCCTTAGCGGCCGCTCAGGACGTTGACGCGGTCACGGCGGCCATGGCTGCGGTGGCCGGCAGTTCGGCGGTTCGGCGTCGGCGGGACACACGTATCCTGGTCTGTATTCGCTCTAGGACTGCGGAGTGGGGTGTGGCCGTCTAGCAAAGAGCTGTTCTACGCGAATTGGCGGAGTTCCATCCAACTGCGAGTTGGGGAGTTGCGGCCGCCGGTGAAAATCGACCTGCAACTTCGGTCATGGTGGGGACGGCGATGTCTAAATGCCCTTACCTTATTGAAGGCATCATTTTTGCGGTCATTTTCTCCTCGCTCAGACTATTCTAAGGGGAAACCCTTAATCTGCCTGTCCTAGATCGGACGATAATGGCGCTATTGGTGTCGTATTCCTTCATGTGGGCAACGTTTTGGAGCAAATGCTTGTTGGAGTCGTCAGGAGGTGGAGCAGCATGGCATCTACCGCATCAACGTCGGTGGGTCTTGGCGGCATGGTGCCGCACAGTCTTGGCAACGGATGCGTCTGAGCGAGCGCAGGGAGGTGGCACTGTTTGGCTCTGTGGTGGAGTCGATGGCAGGCCTAGGAAGGTCGATGCGTCAATATCTTCTTTGAAGATGGAAGACGGCGGCGGCGGCATATGTAGCGTGCACCTGAGGTGACCACTGAGTGTGAGGCAGACCGGTGTGTGCCCCAAACGCTTTGGTGTCAGGTCTGTGTATGCGGCTCAGACAATCTGCGCCCTTTCATCAAGTTGATAGGAGTAGCGACAGATGTTGCCGAGATGGTGGTTTCAGAGGTATTGATGTATTACTTTGTAAGGTCGTGCTGAAAAATTAATAAAATGGTTGCATGCATCGTTCTGATGTGCAGATGCAGAGGCCCGGGGTTATCCTCCTTTTCGGAAAAACAAAAAAAAAAAACTGGGAAAAACACTGCCACCGACCCACCCACCCATTACAGGTTTACAGGATCCTTGATCTGTAACCAGCAGGATGTTAACCAGAATCAAGAAATAAACAACAGAAGAATAAAGACTATACATTGCAGGAAATGTCTAATAGTCAGAACTATATAAGCACACAGGTTAGGCAGCATTAGGAGAGGATACCTGCCACATGAAATCCTCAATAGAAGGATCATACTGGCGCAGTTGCTCTATTTTTTCAGCTTCAATGAAGAAACAATGCACCACCGATTCTGTAATAATGTCACAAATATATGGCTTTCCAATTAATGCCTCGTATAGACCCAAAGTGCTTCCATGTGACAAAATTGGATCCAGTGAATGCCTGGTGCTGAGTCTCTGACTTGTCCACTGTAAAAAAGGGAGGCAAGGGCAGGTACATGCTCATTAGTGAATCAGCCGGAGTGGCAAAATACATTTTTCAATCAAAATGTGATAAAGTGGTCTTGAGGCAGAAACATACCTTTACAATTCCAGTCGAAACAAGCCATTTACCAGTTGGCCTTGAGCCTTCCCTATAAAGGATGGTTCCATGTCCTTTTATTGATTCTTTTGTATTACTTAACAACGGATCACGAGCAGCAGCAGGCAGTGCACCAACTAAAGGATGGGTGTTTAGAAGTTCGCTAACTCTTGGCATTTTCACCAGCGGTGGATTCCTCTTAAGTTTCTTCAAGTCTGTCTGCCAAGTGAATTAACTTGCCAAATTTAGTACATTGCGACTTTTGAACTGAAACCTCAGAGATTAATTTACTTTCACTTTGCCAGAAGAAACAGAATCATTTTTCTCCAACTACCTGCAAAGCATCATCGAGATGGACTATTTCCTTTTCCTCGAGCAACCCTGTCTTCCCGAGGTCTTGAATATAGTCGCTCAAGTGTGTCAATACCGCATAAGTTACTTGTCGAGTCTTTAATACACGAAGCACCTGAAAAGTGTGGAAACAGCTCCAGAATCAAGATAACAGTGCACCGGCATAAAAGAAAGAACAAAAGAATCTAGATAGCACCATAACACTGAACTATCAGCATCACCAGGGTATGTTTTCAATTAACATGGCATTCCTTAGTTTATTCATGTAGTGAAGTTTTACTTCATTATTACGAACTACTATTTGAAATGAGTACAAAATGTAGTATTCTAAAGCCTTATAGACCTAGGATCGATGTTCGACCTAGGACCATTGTAGAAAATCAGTTCAAGAAGAACATCAGATGGATTTTGCAAGGGAAAGGACAATTCCTCAAAAACTACAACCAAATCCTTGCATTCCAAACTCTAAATCTAACCATTTACAGGCCTCAGCCTCTCCATGCCATGCAAGAACATGTGTCTCTAAATGCCAAACTGCTCCTGATTTATTCTTCTCCAACACACACCCAAGTGTGTGTTATTTTGTATTAGAAGATGACACCAATAATTGTGAATGTCTTGCAGACAAACAAACAAAAGGAAAGAACCAAAAGTAAAAACAGGAAAAAACTGAAAATCTAAAATAGTATGAAGGCCAAGAAAAGAAACCCAGAAGACAAAACTGTACGTCTATCCTGCAGATCAGCGAGCTGGTTAGGGGGATGCGCACGAAGCTGAACTAGTCCCATTTTAGTTCAGGCAATATGCATTTGTCCTGAAGTTTTGCAGGGAAATCACTAGTTGAACGAATTCACGAGATTTCACGATGCCAATGAATCCATAATAATTTGAGTTAATTGACAGTAGCACATTGTAACCACAACCTGAGGGAATGTAACACGAACATCTTCCAGAAACTTTTTAGCTTCCTCCCCCGCAGCAGTACTTTCATTGATGACAATTCTTGCAATATCACTATCACCTGAAGAACAAGCAAAAATTATAAAAATAATGAAAATAGGTGAAGTGCAATAGGAATATAGGATCTTTAATCTCCAGTGTCCACAAAACAGTATGAATAGGTGACTTCAGACAAGCTTTTCATGGTAATTGCAACATAAAGTAAAGTCACTCACACTCAAGCTTAATGAGCTGGACTCATTTGGACCATCAGATATATACAAAGTAATTTTGCAATGAAGGCAAGACTTCATCAGTTTGAGCACTAAATGCCGTAACTATTCGACAGGAAAGCAAACTCTGCTTAGCGTAATTATCAGTTTCTAATTCCCACTTATACACTATAACACAAACACCAGTAATATGTTCTCACACATAGCATTTTTCATATAGGAACCAACTACCGACACAGAAATATCTTCTATACATTTTCCTGGATTTTTCATATAATAACTAGCACATGACAACATATAAAGTGTCAAAAACGTTACCAAGAAAATCATGTAGTTGTCTCCTCGCAATTCTATGAGCACGGAGAAATGCCGCACAAATGTAGCATCCTAACTCCAATCTTTCTACTGTGAAGTATGTGACAAGCCTTCGTGGCAATCTGCTCATCTGAAGGAACCTATAATACTTTGGGAAATGAACACTGGACCGCAAACCATTCCAGTCGCATAATGATTGGCTAGAAACAAGATCCATAGCCTCATCAACAGATCTCATTAACATATTTGCTGTAGATTGAGTTATTCGTCCCTCTTCAAGCATTCCCCAGTAAGCGGCTTGCACACCTGACAAAAATATTTAGCCAATGGTCACTTTAAAATAAACTGTAGTTAACTCCACTCAATTTCGCTTATTCACGACCTAAGAACTCTCAATTTCAAAAAAAAATTATGCTTTGAGAAAATAAGTGTGTAGTAATAGCAATATGTTCACTGTCTATCCTACTTAAACGCACTAGAAGGAGTTAAACAGCTGTAGGCCCTTCAATGGGTGTATGCATAGACATTTCTCATGAACATTGTTTCAGATTTACTGATTCATTGGTGGGCCAAGACAATATAGTGAAACAAATGTAGCATGAAACTGCATATTCCGTACCATTTCTTTTGACTATTAAGTACACCCTCCATCGATTTATACAAGGCCACTTGTAATCTGGGTCTAACTTTGAACATCGATCTGACCAACAAGACGTATGCTATATGCCACACGAATATATACCAACGCTTGAATCACTAAATTCTTCACACCAACATCCCAACCAAGCCTAGTGACTTCCGTGACCTGTGGTGAACCACGTAACAAGTTCAGTGTCCTAGATAAGCATGAACAGTTCATGGAACTAGTTCCGTTGTCAAAAGTTTTAGGACCCAGATTCCCAGAGACTGTAGTGCATTTTAGTCTTTTATATGTATGTACCCCCCTTAGCAAACGCAACTTCATCACCACATTAACATGTAGTGCGTACCATTCAAAAGCCGCACTCGTGTATCCCTCAAATTCATTGTATGCACATGATCATCTATGTCAGGACCATCATGAGGATGTGCTTGTTCATCTTCCAAGTCATTCAAACATGTAATATATTTCTTCACAGTAATCCAATCAGCAGGCCCAAGTTCCTCATCATCCCTGAAATCACCAAAAGCCTCCAATGCCTTGTTTAGCATTTCGTATCTTGTGTACTTCAATACACGAAACTGCAGTTGCAGGAAATCATATTAGAAACTGGAGCGCGAGGAGAACATAACTATGCTACTTCATATTCATCAATCATGTTGTGTAACGAAAACTATTGTTCTTTCTGGTTGCAGATGCAGATAACAATGTCAGCAAACCTATGCACCCTTGAGGTAAAAGAAAATGCTTAATAACATTCAGAGCACTTTGTAAAGCTAACCTTTGTTGCTGACAATTTTTCCATGCCGAGTAGGTGCAACAAAAACTGTGTGGTTGAACCATTCACAATCAATGTCAGAAAAACGATGCCACCTGTGAAGAAGACAAACTGCAAAAGAGTTTATTAAGACCAGCAAAGCTCAAATTAAATAGTTCATACTTTTCAGGAAAAATCAAAGAGCATACCATTGTTCCAACTTCTGATTTCAGATAATGTTGATCTGCATCGCTACCAAGCTAGTAGAAGTATTTCAATAAATATCTCAGAATAATAAATAGTGGGTTACTTAAAAAATGATGTAGACATCCATAATGGTAACAACAGAGTGAGGATCAATGGCACTCACACATGAAAAATTAACTTACTTTAACAGACAGAGATAGAGATAGAGCAACAGCCCCTCGCAGCCCTGACCAGACAAGAACTATGGCTTCTTTGAAATCCATACCATACCCAAAGTGACGCAGCAATGGAAACAAAACACTGACAACTATAGCACGCGATATTTGCACAAACACGTAGAGCAGAAGAAGGTACCCCCATGAAGTGCCTGAAATAGCAAGAGATAAAGAGAATTATGTACAAAACTCAAAGATGGGTTAGAACTAAACTCATAACATCTAACGGGAGAGTATACAGGTGCGCCCACCCCTTAGGTGCTACTGTATGCTCAATGCTCACCCTCCCGAAAAGGGATGAAAATACTCAAATATTTAAATCCAAATTTTATCTATACATTGACAACAAAGATGAGAGGTTCTCTGATGAAAATAAAAGTTCCAACTATTCACCAAAGAGCTTGTCTTCTTTGCTTCTTCCCATGATGTTAAATTGTACATCATTATCAATCTGACCAAATAGAACAGCATCCAACAGACAGGGGGCTAGCATTTCGTTCCCAGCTAGCCCTAGCGTTGTTGCCACCCACTCCAATCTCAGCACTGAATCTCTCATCCCTCGGCCCCCTGCCCCTCCTTACTCTCCATCCTTGCCGCCTTCGGAGGCCTCCACGGACGGGGGCAACATAGTGGTTCTGTGCCGGGATAGCGATCTCAGGTACCTGCAGTGGTGCTCAAGCTTGGTGAAGTCTTGATGCTCCTGGTTATGCTGGCAGTGCACAGACAAGATGGCCAGCGCTATGATCTTCTAGTGGCGGCGGCCGCCGGCGAGATCCGTGCCCTTCTACACCTTATTCGCTAGATTTGGTGGTATGGGCAGCCCCTGTGGTGACTACTATGTCTGATCTACCGTGGATTTGCTTCATCGGATCGGGACTTGCCCGGAAGATGGTGGCAGTGGCAGTGTTCAGCCCTCATTGGTGGCACTGAGGGCGTCGTCGTGTTTATGCGGGCCTGCAACCTAGACAGATGGCTTTGGGCGCCACATCGGTGCCGTCCGTGATGGGGAGTTGTGGTGGTTGGCATGCTTGGCTCCTCTATGGACACGGATCTATCGGGCCGGTACATGGTTCGTCCAGTATGCAAAACCCCTCCCTGGTGTCTCCATGTGTGCCCTGTTAAGTTTCATGCACTAGCCTATGCAATCAAAAGTACAAACTGATGAAGAGGGCTAGGAAATCCACATATACACTTCAACACTCACTCTCACATGTGACGCGGAAAATCAACACGTGGATAAACTCAGAGGTATGGCTCAAGAGGCCTATACATGGCCACAAAGGAGGGGGACAACAATTTTTAGATAAATTATGAAAGCTAGGATTTGAACTCAAGACCTTAGCTCTGATACCATGTTAAGTTTCATGCAGTAAACACAACAAGAAGTTCGAACTGGTGGAAAGGGCTAGGCAATCCATACATACGCTTCAACATGCCCCTTGCGTAGATGGTGGGCTTTGCACATGAATCGGATGCGGCGGCGGCAAGGGTTTGTCGGATCCAGCACCTTACACTAGGCGTCGACTCCGTCTCATGGGGAGGATGTGCAAGACCGGTCTTCCTCACCTCACCGCCGCCACGAATGCTGAGAAGGTTGGCTTTGGCTCGGTTGTAGGCAATGGCATCTTGCTGGTGTATCAGGCAGCGACAATTGCTTGGCACTGCTTGGGCATGCACAACTACCATCGGCGATGCGATGGTGCAACAATGCCCGGAAGTAAAAGCATCTACAGTGGGACACGGCAAACTCAAACACTGCCCATACATCTTTGCGAACGCCCCAGTCAGTGATCGGTCACAAAGTCTCGACCAGGACACACCCCTCATATTTGCTCTATACGTTCAGGCTGACTGACACCCATCATATCCAGCTCATATCTAGGGCGGACATGGGAAGGCACGGACGCGCCCGGGAGCGTCCACCACGTCGCATCCGGCCCACGCTGGCCACCTCGACCCCACATAAGGAGGGGAGAAGGAAGGCCTATGCCTTGCGGCGCTGGGGTTCGCACC